TTACAACGGTTTGAGAGATGGAGTGTGGGTCGTTTTCGAAATGTGGCTCTCGGCTTAAATGGCGTCGCGCGCGTTCGTCACTAAACGTTAGCAACTATTTCACGGATGGAGGTCGGTTTCTAAACAACGCGTGGCTCTTGCCTTCGCGCCGCGCGCGTTCGTCTCGAAAGTTTGCATCAGTTTCAAGGATTTGTATGGTTGACGTCCCTGGAACTGTGTTCTCACACGACGTAGCAGTCACGTTCCAGGAATGGTGTACTGGCACGCCTTCGGAGTGTCCAGACGCAACAGTCACGTAGATTCGCGGCGTTGACGTCCCAAGAACGGCGTTTCGGTTCGATTGAAGACCCTCAGACGGTTGTCTTCCAATGGAACCCTTCCCGCAATTAAAACAAATTCTCGTAGGGGCCAAAGGGAGAGGGAACTTGGAGGGAGAGTTTATTGCAACATCGTTGAGCGTCTTGGGTTTACACTGATTATCCTCTTTCTTTTTCTTCTTTTCTCCGCTTCCCTACTCCCCCTATCGTTCTTCTCCCCCCCCCCTTCCTCCCCCCAGCTCCTCCTCCTGCTCCTCCTCCCTGACCCTCCTCGTCTTCTTCTTCTGCATATCGACGCCCCCGGCAGTTGTGTCGGACGGATGAAAGCACATTCCATTTCGATCCGACCGATCCGATTCGATGTCGATTCCGGCCCAGCCCGACCCGATTCGATTTCGACATTCTGACGATCCGATGCGGCCCGATGCCCGTGTGGCGCTGCTGTGCACCCCGGCGCAACCGATCCGATCCGACTTCGACTCCGTGCCGAGGCAGCCCCATCCGACGCACGTTCCGCTTCGATCCGATCTTCCGATTCGACCGTAGGTGTCCCTGAGCAGGCGGGCTCAGTGAGGGGGAGTTCCTCGCCATCGCTCGGACGTCCATTCCGTGTTTTTTTCAAGTTTCGTGCGTGGTTTTTTCGCCAAATGATCAAGGATGGTCCTCGATGGTCCTCGCCGAGGAAAAACTGCACACGTCCGAGCGATGCCGAGGTTATTGAGCAAGCAGGCGAGCGCCGATGCCGTTCCGCGTGTGCCCGCGGGGAGCGCCTCCCGAGGAAGTCGGCGGCGGGGGCCTTCAAAAGGGTCAGTAAAGGTGGGTTAGCGAAGCAGCTCCCGTAGCTGACTTCCCCCTCGCCTCCTCGCGCTGGAGGCGCCAATGTTCTCGAGACAGGCGCTCGACGGCAGGGCCCAAGTAAACCAGCTGCGGGGACCGCGTCTTGTCCTGCACCCACTGGCCCTGTCAGCGTGTGGAAGGCGCTGTCGTCCCCGGGCTCTCCTCTTCAACCGCCACGAGGAAATTGAGGAACGCCGTAGTTGATGAAGTCGAAAGGAAGCCCCCTTCCTCCCTTTGATCCCTTCCCCGCCAGGGGAAGGGGGGGGCACAGGGGCTGGGGTGGGGCGGGTCTCAAGTCAGAATGCCGCCCCGCCCGGGAACCCGGGGAGCCCCTGGGGGGGGTCCCCAGACGGGGTCCTGGGGGAAGTCCCACATACAGGGTCGGCGGCACCGGCCAGAAGCCCTTCCCAATCAACCCGGGGACCGCTTCCTGATTCGTTTTCGTTGAGGGTCCCGGCGTCCCGGTAAGACTCCTGGAGGCTGGAAACTGAGAACACCTTCTGGCGTGACCCCTGACGCGCTCCCTGGCACGCTCCCAAACACACTGGTAAGGCCTCGGGTTGCGCAGAAGATAACCCTCCCAGGTAGTCTCAGCTGGCCTCAGCATTCCCCCCGAGTAGTCCCATCCGGCAAGCCCCCTGGTAACCCGGGGCGGTCTCAACACCCTGGCGGCGGCCCAGGGTTGGGGTGTTGAGACTGCTCTGGGCTACTCAGGGGGCCCGGGGCCAGCTGGGATCTCTCGTGGAGCATGTTGAGGCCAGCCAGGACTAGCTGGGGGGTCTGTTTGTGCGCAGCCCGAAGACCTCTACGATGGTACGACCGCAGTCCTGCTAGCTACCAGCGCTGCCTGAAGCTCTACGGCCCTAAGCCCTACCAGCCCTGCCAGCCCGAAGCGCTACCCGCCCGAAGCCCCACCCCCAGATCCCAGCCCCAGCCTGGACCCCTGGACCCGCGGGAAGCAAGAACATCGGCAATCTCCGTAAACAGAAACGGACTACCTAACCTCGGGCGCTCCGCCCGCCGGCCTCGGCGTCTCCGACAGGACGTCCCTGGGCACGCCTCCAGATATGCCACAGAACAGCGCCCCCAAAGGCCCACGGTGCTGCCGCCATCGTGCCACCATGGGGGGGCGCCAGACGAGGAACGAAAGGAGCTTCTCTGGCCGCGGCGACTCGCGGCCACGAGCAGCTCCCCCAGCCTGGATCTAAAGAGCGGCCCGAGCAGCAGATCTGCTGCTGCAGAAGGCAGAAGATTCACCCCCAGAATGATCACCCCGGCACGCGAAGCCGCTTAGCAAACGCACCCACAGAAGGAATCGAACAGGGCAGGGCCGTTTAGTAAACGCCGAGGGCCGTTCAGTAAAAGCCAGTTGTCGGGTCTGGATGATTTTTCCTCCCTCGATGCTGAGCTCAAGCGGGGCTTTCTGTCAGTGCCTTGACTGCAAGGGCTCGCGAGCCAGCGCGCACGGAATGCGCCCGGGCGCGTCCTCAGGACGCGCCGCTCCGGCGACACCGAGGAGGACGAGACCCCCAGGCCAGCACGCGCGGAATGCACGTGGGACGGCCCAGGGACGCACCCCAGGCTGGCCCGAAACCGCACAAAGCCTCCTCCTCCTCCTCCTCGTCCGCCATCCTCCTCCTCCTCCTCCTCCTCCTCCTCGTCCTCCTTCTCCTCCTCCTCCTCCTCCTCGTCCGCCTCCTCCTCCTCCTCCTCGGCCTCGAGCCCGCACTCTCGAAAGGCACCTGGGACGGTCCTGGGACGCACGGCCAACCCGTAGAATAATGACGCGCGACGAGGATGCAAGGGCCTTGGAAGGCCATGTCGACACTTTGCGAGCGGGGCGCGGCCAGCGAAAGCGGCCACGAATGGGCCGAAGGGGAAGGATGCAAAGGTAACCTTGGAACACTGGTCATCCTTACTGTGCGGGTTGACTGTGCCGGGATCTTGCCGAAGGACGCACCATCCTCGAGTCCGCACGCTCGGAATGCAACTGTAACGGCCCCGGGTGCTCGGACGCACCATGGCTTGCCCCCCATGACGCACCATCCTCGAGCTGGCAAATTCGGAGTGCACCCAGAGCGGTCCTGCGGCCTATCACTGCCTAGCCTGAGAAAGCACCATGCTCGAGCGGGCACCCCCTGCGATCCGACGTCACGAAAGAATTGTAACGTCGAGATCACGACTGGAGCCCTAGCCCTTATCTTCCTGTTGCATCTCTCGAGCCAGAACGATCTGTGGGGGCCCCGGGGCCTGGAGCTGGGCGAAAAAGCTCAGCGCGCAAAAGGTGTAATGCCCGGATCTCGCTGAATGCCCCTAAGGTGGTACTGGGACTCGCCACTGCCTGGACCTCATGCGCACCATCTTTGAGCGAGCACACTCGAGGTGCACCTGGGACGATCCTGGGGCACACCACTGCCTTAGCCTGGGACGCACCATCATCCTCGACCTGGCACCCGCGGGGTGGCAATCAGGCGATCGCGTTTTGGACCTGGGCGATCCTCCCTGGGGACGCGGCGGGAGGCATTCTGTCGTGTCTGATGCCATGAAGGGTTGGGACACGATCATAATCCCATAGACGAGCTCTTCAAGAGGAAGGGCCAAACACGTGCAAGAACCCGAACCCCACATACCCACAACGTGGTATTCTGCACAGCTGGATGATCCTCAGAACGCGTGTTAGCGCCAACGTGTGCTGGTCCACCGAAGCCCTTTCGATACGACGGAGGTACTGTAACGATGGCCGACGCAGGCCGAAAAGGTTAAACTTTTTGGTCGGCGGGTCGGGAGCGGGCCCCTTCCGGTTAAGAGCTGGGCGGGGCGCGCGAAGCCCAAACCGAAAAGGTTGAGCACCCATCAACCTAACACACGCCCTGAAGATCATCGAACAGCGCGGGCCACTTCGTTTTATCCTCACCCGGAACCACTTTTTTGTTCTTTCTTTTTTTCTATCTGATCGACCCAGAAGCGGGCATCGAGGAAACAGCCGGTCTTAAGTGACACTTCCTCGGCGCGTCGCATGCCTGTCCTGCGAACGTTGCCGAAAGCACACCCGGAACCACTTTTGACGGCACCTGTGGCCCGGCAGAGGCCTCCGAGAGGCCCAAAGGCGTGGAACCCCTCCCCCTGGCGGCACTTTTTTTCACGACGCGAGGGAGTATGTGCTTGGAGCTAAAGAAATTGCCCGCGGGGCTTGTCCAGGGGCGCGCGGTCCAACCCGATGTTCGAAGCGGCTCCAGCCGTGTCGACGAGAACGCGCCAGGAGGCGCAGAAGAGTGATTCACAGCTCAGACCTTGAACGTTGCATCCTCCCCCCCGCGGGTGCGCGAAAGAGGGGGGCCAGGAAGAGAGGGGCTAGCGCGTCATTGCACGAGCCGGAGGCGCGGACAAGGGGAGGGGGGGGGGGCGCAGGGAAGGCATGACACGAAGAAGAAACATAACAAATCTACGATCGATTAAGAACAATACGAACAGCACCATGAATCAAAAGAACACCAATGCCAAGAAGAAGAACGGCCATGCCAACTTGAAACCTTCCCTGTTGGACGCCCCCGACGGCTGCCTGGCCCTCGACGGCGGGCGCGGGAGGGATCGCCCGCGGCCTGGCGACCGCTGCCATGCACGCGCACGCTCGGGGGGCCTTCTCCTCAGACTCGGCCACGATGCTCCTCCTCCTCCTCCTCCTCCTCCTCCTCCTCCTCCCCCTCCTCCTCCTCCTCCTCCTCCTCCTCCTCCTCCTCCCCCTCCTCCTCCTCCTCCTCCTCCTCCTCCTCCTCCTCCTCCTCCTCGCCACCGATCGCAGAGCGATCGGCGGGTTGGCCGCATCGGACGCAGCCTCCCCGGGGTCTCCTTGTCGGCGGCGGCCGCCACAGCCAGGGACGCCGCCACCTCGCTCGCGCCGCCGCCTGCCAGTTCATGGCAAGAGGAGGAGGAGGAGGAGGAGGAGGAGGAGGAGGAGTAGGAGGAGGAGGAGGACGAGGAGGAAGAGGAGGAGGAGGAGCAGGAGGAGAAGAAGGAGAAGGAGGATGAGAAGGAGGAGGAGGACAGCGGAGCAGGAGGAGGTGGAGGCGGAGGGAGGAAGAGGAAGGTGGAGGTGGAGGAGGAGGAAAAGAAGGAGGAGGATGAAAAGGAGGAAACAGAGTAGGAGGAGGAAGAGGAGGAGGAGGAGGGGGAGGAGGAGGGGGATGATGATGATGATGATGATGATGATGATGATGAGGAGGAGGAGGAGGAGGAGGAGGAGGAGAAAGAGCAGGACGAGGAGGAGGAGGAGGAGAAAGAGGAGGATAATGCAGAAAACTGGAATGAGGATGGTGGTAAGGATGGTGATGCGGCTGATGCTGATGATGCTGCTGATGATGACGATGATGATGATGAGGCTGCTGACGATGAGGATGCTGTTGCTGATGATGACGATGAGGATGACGATGCTGATGATGATTATTATGCTGCTGCTGATGCTGCTGCTGCTGACTACGATGGTGACGATGGTGATGCTGATGATGACGATACTGATCATGATAACGATGATGAGGCTCATGATGATGATGCCGACGATGGCGATGATGATGCTACTGCTGATGCTGCTGCTGACGATGATGCTGAGGATAGTGATTGTGCTGGTGATGACGATATTGTTGCTGATGATGCCGTTGTTGATGGTGCAGCTGACGATGATGCGGTTGATGAGATTGATGCTGCTGCTGCTGATAATGCTAATGATAACGATGATGCTGATGATGCTGATGATGCGAACGATGATGTTGATGGTGATGCTGCTGATGATGATGACGATGCTGCGGCTGCTGATGATGACGGTGATGCTGATGATGCTGATGCTGATGATGCTGATGCTGATAATGATGTTGATAATGGTGATGATGCTGACTAGGAGAAGGAGGATGAGGTTGAGGAGGCGCATGCGGGGAATGAGGAGGGGGAGGGAGTGGATGAGGACCATGGGGAGGAAGAGGAGGAGGAAGAGGATGAGGAGGAGGCGGAGGACGAGGACGAGGAGGACGAGGAGGAGAGCGGAATTGGAGGAGGTGGAGGTGGAGGGAGGCATACTAAGGTGGAGGAGGAGGATTAGGAGGCGGAGCATGAAGACGAGGAGGAAGAGGAGGCGGAGGAGGTGGAGGAACAGGAGGACGAGAAGGAGAAGGAGGAGGGGGAGGAGGAGGAGGAGGAGGAGGAGGAGGAGGAGGAGGAGGAGGAAGCTGAGGAGGAACAACAGGATGAATAGGACGACGAGGAGAAATAGAAGACGGGACGTCAATCTGGATGCAGACCTGGGCGATACTAGCATTGTTCAGGTTTGCGTAGGAACACGCCTGATTCAATCAGTTTGTCGTTTCGAGTGCGCGCGTGTGGAAACCTCCTCGGGAAACATGTCTGTCACATGAGGGATGACGACACGTAATATTCAAACCATTTGCCATGTCCAGAACTTATATACACGCACATGCCCTTCAACAGGTCAACCGCGCCCGACTGGCACAAACTTTTCGCGCCCCAGACTGTTCGACCACATACGAATTGGTGGACTCGGCATTTCCCCACAACCAAATGGCGAGGGTGTCAACGATCTTATGGGGAACCGTGTGTTCTGTTGCCTAGGAATGTTTCCGTCATCATTTCAGCCGTTCCCGCGCCCTGCAACACTGCCCAGGGCGCGCCCCACGGGTGCCCGAATCGTCCCGAATGGCTGCCCCAAACCAGAAAGATGGGGCGATAACCAGCAGATGAGGATGAGGATGATGTAGATGATGATGCTGCTGATGATGATGATGATGATGCTGATGATGCTGATGATGATGATGACGATGATGATGATGCTGATGATGATGATGATGAGGTGGAGGATGATGAGCAAGAGGAGCACGATGAGCAGGAGGAGGAGGAGTAGAAGAGGAGCAGGAGGAGGAGCAGGAGGCTGATGAGCAGGAGGAGGAGGAGGAAGAGGAGGATGAGGAATATGAAGAGGAGGAGGAGGAGAAGCAGGAGGAGGAGAAGGCGGAGGAGGATGACCAATGTAAACCCCAGGCTCATCAACGATGCTGGTTGAAGCCCTCCCTCCGAGCTCCCTCTTCACACGCCCCATACAAAGGTTGATTTCCACTGATGGAACTGCCCCGTTGGGAGACACCCGCTTGAAGACCCTGAAGCATGCCCAACCACCATTCTGGGGACCCCACCGCCACGGATCAACCTTACGGTTGCATCTTGGCGATCCAGAATCGTCCCATAACACCATTCCTGGGATTTCAGCGCCGCGAGTCAATGCACCTGATGCGCCCTCACGCTCCTGAAGCCTTCCACAACGGCGCTTCTGGTACGTTGACCATGGAGTCCGTGAAACTCTTGCGCATTTGAAAACGATTATGCGCGGCGCTAAAGCGATAACAACATATTGAAAACGCACAGCCATCAATCCGTGAAGCTCTTGCACATGTCAAAGACGAAAGTGCGCGGCACTGAAGCGAGAACCGCATTTTGAAAACGGTCCGCCCTCAATCCGTGAAGCTTTTGGAATTAGCCATAGCACATGTGCGCGGCGCTAAGGCGAGAACCGCATTTTGAAAACCGCCTATCTCTTGCACATTTGTGAGCGGATGTGCGCAGCGCTAAGGTGAGAAACACATTTTGAAAACCACCCACCTTCCATGTGTGAAGTTGTTGCCACTGTTTAAGCTTCATATTCATAAGTGGTGAGGAAGTCTCAAGCGAGACGCCTGCCCCGCCCTTTCGACTGGCCTCGGGTTGCGACAGGGGAGAGTTACTTATAAGGAAGGGGAATGGCGTAGGAGGAGGAGGAGGAGGAGGAGGAGGAGGAGGAGGAGAGGAGGAGGAGGAGGAGGAGGAGGGGGCCAAGAGGAAGACGAGGAGGACGAGGATGACGATGAGGAGGAGGAGAGGAGGGAGGAGGAGGAGGAGGAGGAGGATGAGGAGAGAAGACTAGGAAGAGGAGGAGGAGGAGGACGAGGAGGGCGAGGAGGAGGTGGAGGAGGAGGAGGGAGGAGTAGGAGGAGGAGGCGGAGGAGGAGGAGGAGGAGAATGACGAAGCGGCGCAGAGGGGCACGCAAGCGCGTAGCCTGGTGACTTCCGCGGCGCGAGGTCTAGCCCCCCCCCGAGCCTGGCACGACGCGCGGGTCGCGGATGAGGTTGCGCACGCAGCAATTGGCGTCGTGCAGGCAACGCTTCGCCTGCGCCAGACGGCCGGGAGATGGCGGAGGGAGAGGGGCAGGATGAGGAGGAGGGGGAGGAGGAGGAGGAGGAGGAGGAGGAGGAGGAGGAGGAGGAGGAGGGGGATAAGGAGGAGGAGGAGGAGGAGGACGAGGAGGAGGAGGAAGAGAGGGACATTGATGATGATGATGATGCTGCTGCTGCTGCTGATGATGATGATGATGATGATGATGATGAACATGATGCTGCTGATGATGATCATGGTGCTGACGATGATGATGCTGATGATGACAAGGAGGGATAGAAGGAAGGAAGGGGGATCAGGGGGAAGAAGAAGCGGGAGACTAAGGATGAGGTGGATGAGGGGGCGGGGAGGTGGAGGGGGGAACGAGCAGACGAGGAGCAGGACGAGGCCAAGAACCAGGAGGATGACAAGTTCGGGGGTAGGAGGGCGGTGACGATGATAATGATGATGCTAATGATGCTGCTGCTGCTGCTGATGATGATGATGATGATGATGGTAATGCTGATGATGGTGATGATGCTGATGATGATGACGATGATGATGATGCTGCGGCTGATGATGATGATGATGATGATGCTGATGATGATGATAGTGCTGATGTTGATGCTGCTACTGCTGCTGCTGCTGCTGATGATGCTGGTGATGATGCTGTTAATGATGATGATGATGATGATGATGATGATGATGATGATGATGATGATGATGATGATGATGATGATGATGATGATGATGATGATGATGATGATGCTGACGAGGAGGAGGAGGACGAGGACAATGAGGGGAGGCTACATGTTTGGCTCTGTCACCGCATGAAGACCATGGTTCAAGAACTGGTCTGGCTCGAGAGGCTTCCCCCAGCTCGGCTCAAGAGGATTCACCCAGCTTGCCTCAAGAGAGCGTGGACCAGCGTGTGGGCGAAGAGCTGGCAGTGGTAGCAGGCAACGGCGAGAGAGCTTCATACCAGACGTCATCAACTCCATACGTGGACCAGCGCTTGCGAGAAGACCAGCGTGTGCGAGAAAAACTGGCAGTAGTAGTAGGCCTAGGTACCCGCGTTATCCGCTGCATGCGTAGAACGAAGTGTACGAGAAGAGCCTGCAACGGCGCTCGACGGCGGGAACAAAAAAAACACTGCATACCAGACGTCCTCAACTACATGTGTGGGCAAGCGCGTGCGAGAGGAGTCGGCGGTGGCAGCAGGCAGCGTTGCGAGACCTGGATCACCGATGTCATCAGCTGCATGCGTGGACCAGCGTGTGCGAGGACCGCCGGCTGTGGCATCGGGCAGCGGGGAGAAAACTGCACACCAGCTGTGGCACCGGGCAGCGGGGAGAAAACTGCACACCAAACGACGTCAGCTACATGCGCGGAACAGCGCGTGCGTGACGAGCCGGAAGTGGCAGCATGCAGCTGGGAGAAAGCTGCATACCTGACGTCATCATCTACATGCATGGACCAGAGTGTGCGAGAAGAGCCAGCGTTGGCACCAAACGGTGGCATGAGAGCTGGATCCCAGACGGCATCAACTGCATGCGTGGACTGGCTTGTGCGAGAAGAGTCGGCAGTGGTAGTGAGCAGCGGGGAGAGAGCTGGACAACAAGTGTCATCAACTATGTGCGTAGAGCGGAATATACGAGAAGAGCCGCAACAGGCCACAAACTGTAACCAGCGTGCTCGAGAAGAAGCGGCTGTGGCAGCAGACGTTGGCGGGAGAGCTGGATCCCAGTCGTCATCAGCTACAATCGGGGACCAACATGCACGTCAAGAGGCGGTAGTGGCAGCAGGCAGTGGTGGGAGCTGCAGTTCAATCTCATCGGCTGCATGCATGGACTAGCGCGCGCGAAAAGAGCCAGCAGTGGCAACCAGCAGCGATGAGAAAGCTGAATGCCAGACCTCAGCAGTTACATGAGTGGGCCAACGTGTGCGAGTAGGCCAGAAGGGCGCAGGAGGCAGCAAGGCCAAGAGGGCCAGGAAGGACAGGAAGGATCAGGGGACAAGAAAGACCAGTGAGTCCAAGAATGGTGAGGACGACCCAAAGATAGAGGAGGATACGGACTGTCCAGCACCTACTGCTGGACCACCGAGGGCCACGGTTTGGACTGGTACTACCTCGAAAGTACTGGCCAGGAGTTCGGCCCGTTCCCCGCGGATGCCATGCGGATGTGGCTGCAGTACGACTTCTTCCACATCGGCGAGGAGCTGCAAGTGAGGCTAGCCTCGTGGCCACAACAAGTTGCTCTTCGTGCGATATTCCCAAAGATGAGGAGCGCATTCGTCCGGCCGCCCGTCATGAAGATGGGCAACAAAGTTGAACTTCCTACTCCCTAAATGGAGGCTCGCTGCAAATACGACGAGAACACGATATAACCAGGCGGCGTGGCACGCCGTGCACCAGTGGTGCTCACTCGGAAGCGAACTACGAAGTTGATGAAGTGCAGGCATGGGCAGCAGACAGTGTTGCGAGAACTGAGCTCCGACGCCATCGGCGGCAGGCGGGAACCAGCGCGTGCGAGGAGAGCCGGCAATGGTATTTTGGCAGCGGCGAGGAAGCGGGATGCCGAGCCTCCTCAACTGCATGCGCGGGCCAGCGTGTGCGAGAGGAGCCGGCAGTGGCAGCACGCAGTGGTGGACGACCAACGGGCTGGACGACCTGCGCGCGGCCTCCGAGAGGCATGGCGCCGCTGCCGCGGCCACCCGGCCACGGGCCGCGCCGCGACCGGAGGAGCCGGTTGGTGCCGTGCGCCTGCAGCGTGGCGGCCAGGTGCGGACACCACCGGCATCGTCCAGCTCCTCGTCAGCGATGTCAGGGATCGGCGGCGGGCGAGGGGGGGAAAACGAGAAGGCGAAGGCCTTCTCAGAAGGCGGCGGGACTCATCGGAAGCCCTCGCAGCGCCTTCTGAGGGGCTTTCGGTGTCTCCGGGGAAGGCAAGGAAAAACTTCTCAGAGACTTCTGGACCTTCTGAGAAGGCCCACCCCTTCACACTCCCCCCCGGGCCCGACGCCGAAAGGAAACCCAGAAGGCTATGGAGGAGGAGGTCTCGAAGGATGGCATGCAGGAGGAGGTCGCGCAGAAGGGCACCGAGTACGACGCCAGGAGCTCCCAGATCCTGCGGTCCTTATTAAGTCCCGACCGCTTCTCCTCGCAATGCTTCCGACCTCCCCTCCGTCATTGTCCCAGCAGCCCTTTTGGGCGCAGGTGGGTTGGGAAGTTAGCTCTTCCAACCTTCGGGGGCGCGCAAGTATGGATCAGCGATCCATGGACTTGGCGCGCAGTCGCCAAATCCATGGATCGGGGGAGGTGCCCTCTCCGAACTGCGGTCCGTGCCGCCTCGTTCGGCGGCGGCAGTCCGCGATCTCCGATGGAAACGGGACCCGCCGCTGATCCACGCCCCCTGAATCCATGTTTGCGATCGCCGGAAACCTCCCTCTTTCCCTTCGGGGAGGGGTCCACCTCTCCCCCATGCCCCCGCTCCCGGGGCCTGCAACCCTCCTCCCCGCGGGTAATTGGAGGGCCACGAGGGCTCCAAGATCGCCCCAGATAGCCCAAGGAGGTCTCCAGGACGATACAACATATCCAAATCTGGCTCAATCTTTTCTCCAACGTGCCTCCAAGACGCCCCAATACGATCCCAAGTGGCCACGGGAATCCGTTTCAAACCTAAGGAATATGAGTGTTTTGTTGTCTCCTCGCGTTTTCGCTTCCGATTGGCTTCTGAAGCCCCGGGAGGTATCCAAGATGGCCCTCAGAGAGCCCAAGTGCGCTTCAAGAGCACCACAGTAAGAGATTTTTCGGCCTCCGAAGGGGGGACTGACATAAGCGCCGCCCCCTTCTTTGATCGAGAGCCTCCAAGATGGCCCCAAGAGGCCCCTCAAGGCCCCCAAGGGGCCTCAGGGAAGCCCCAAGAGGGCTCCTCAGAGGGGCCCAAGTGAACCCCAAAGTCCTCCAACATTACCCCAAGAAGGTTCCAAAGGCCTCCAAAATGGCTTCAAGAAGGCCTCACGACGACCCCAAGAGGCTCCCACCGCGAAAGGCCCGAAAACGTCTTGATGGTTGACTTCTGTCGTCGTCGTCGTCGTCGTTATCGTCGTCGCCGTCGCCGTCGCCGTCGCCGTCGCCGTTGCCGTCGCCGTCGCGGTCGCCGTCGTCGCCGCCGCCGTCGTCGTCGTCGTCGTCGTCGTCGTCGTCGTCGTCGTCGTCGTCGTCGTCGTCGTCGTCATGGTAACGGCTGCTCAGTTTTTGTTCTACTGCATGCTGCTACACTCCCCTGATCAGAGGAGCTCGCGTAGTGATTGTTTTTGGATGGGCTGGTGGGGATGCGCGGAGCTTCAAGAAATATACTGCCTGCCAGAGCGTCGCACCTTGGTCGATTCACGCTGTCGCCGATACTCGGCCTGTGCATGTGACGTAGATGCTGGGCCCGACCGCTCCGACGGACACCACGGGCCACTCTTCGTGCACCGTGGCACGGCGGCGGCACCTCTCCCTCGCCCCCCCTTCTCTTATGCCGGAGCCGAGACTCAGACATCCTCCGATCTGTTTTCTCCATCCGCGGCTCCAGGGCTCCCGACCCTTTCCCCGAGCATAGGTTTTAGCTTCGCACCCGTGCTCGGTGGCCCCTGGGCCCGAGGAGGAGGAGGATCCCACGCCATTGAGGGGCGCGCCGTCCCGCCACCTCAGGCCACGCTCGCCGCGCCGCCCTCGGCCCCCGCGAGGCCTGTCCTCAGGGGCTCCTCGGCTGAGGGCCCCTGGTCGGCGTAGTTGTCGTAGAAGCCGACGCCCTCGGTGTAGGCGTCGACGACGGCCAGGCCGTCGGAGGTGGAAGAGGAGTCCACGAGCGGCTGCACGACGGACCCGATGAGGGACCGCGGCAGAGCCGCCTCGAAGAAGTCCGCGAGGAGACGAAAGTCTCGCTCGAGGAAGACCGCTTGTGTGAGAGCCGCCTTCGCGTCGAAGCCCCGAGCCTCACTGTGCACCGGGGCTCGCCTCGGGCCGGGGCGGTCCAGGGAGGTCCCTGGCGCTCTCTGGAGGCCGCCCGGGGGTGGCTGGAGCCTTCCAGAGCGCAAGAACGGAGACCCAGAACCTGGATCCTCGAGCCTCGAAGGAGCGGCACTGGCCAGCACGGGAGGGGCGGACGAGGGCAGAAAGAAGATC